GGAGAAGAGAGACAATATATTTGTTGTACTGATGCCGTTTTAATTCCAAACCTTATTTTTTATTTTATTTTATTTTTTGATCATTAGGGAAAAATTAATTCCTCATACTCAAATGGGACCAGTATTATTGTGATTTAACCCCGTCAACTTTGGCTTATTCTCAGGGTAACTTTCTAACCTTTATGTTTAAGCTCTTGTCTTCATCATTTTAAAGGTTATGTGTTAGCTCTTATTTTTTCAGAACAGTCCGTGCTTTCCAGATTTCTCATAATTTGACATGATGAAAAATAAAGCCTACATTTGTTAAATAAATGTGTATTAGGGCTGTCAAAACTAAACGTGTGCACTTCATCCCACTCTTTTTTCAGACTTGTTAATATTATGATTTGATTATGCGATATTATTATGCTTTTTTGCTCTTTCTTAAATTACATTCTGTTGCTTTTTTTTCATTTATTCGAAAAAAATTCAATTCATTCAAAAGAAAATGAATGTGTTAATGTAAAGAGATTAATCTGTGGAATTAACACAATCATTTTTAACTCATTAATGGATTAACAACAAAGTTATTACTTATGAAATATTAAAATTCAAACTGAGGGGGTCACGAACACAAACTTATGTTATCTTGAGGGTCACGGCTCAAAAAGTTTGAGAACCACTGCTCTAGATATTTTATGCTAGCCTTCATATCAAGGATAAAATCATGTATTTTATGTCAATATAAAATGCTGGCAGTATAATTATCTTTTTCTAAATGTGTAGGGGAGATTCAACTGTGATATTGGTGGAAACTGAGGAAAGTATGGCAACAAAAAAAAAGAGGCACATTTTAACAGTAACACCCTGTTGAAAATCTCTACTATCAGTAGCTTCACTGATTTTTTTTTTTAGATATCCATCTAAAAATTGATGCTCGTGTGATTTCAATATTGTACAGTCATGTGTGTAGACAGATGTATTCAGGTTATAACTTTGATTTGAATTCAAGATCATTGTTTTCATCGCTGACACTTTATCACACAAAGAACTGTTAGAAAGGTCCTGCTTTTTTTGTAATTTTGTTTAGTTTTGTTCGAATTGCGCCATCCCTCACTGCGATAAACGTTTCGAGAGCAATTCAGCAGAGAGGAAGGGATGTGAATTTGGATGAACGCGCCTCACAGCCACCAACAGTCGCCTCTCTTATCACTAAAACCTCACACATCACAACCAAAGCCAGAGCCATTATCAGAC